TTTGCATCGCCCTCAGACCTCCAGCCTCGGCGCGATCCCAGCCCCCCCCTTTTTTTCTCACATCGATGAGGGCGAGCCGCAATACAAAGACCCGGCTCTGCCCACCCCTGCCAGCCTCCTCCTCCTCCTCCACCGCCGCCGCCGCCGCCGCCGCCTCTTGTCTGCGCGCCCCGGGTGGATGCTCTGATTCCCCCTCCAGCGGATTCTCCCGCCTCCCTTAGCTCGGGGAAAGCGCCGTCCGAGCTGCCACCCGCCCACCTAAGACACCCACCCCGCCGATCTGAAAGCCCGAGAGCGAGAAGGCGCCATGGCCGAGAGGAGACCCGCGGGGGGCAACAAGCCCAGCGAGCAGGACGAGGGGGAAGAAGTCCCAGCCTTCTTCAAAAACCTGGGCTCCGGCAGCCCGAAGCCCCGGCAGAAATTCTGCGGCATGTTCTGCCCGGTGGAAGGCTCCCTGGAGAACAAGACCATCGACTTCGACTCCCTCTCGGTGGGACGCGGCTCCTCCCCGGGCAGGATCGTGGCCAAGCAGAAGGACGTGGCCCACCTGGGCGCCGAGGCGCAGTCCCTCTACACCTGGCAGAGCCGGAAGGGAGGAGAACCACCTGTGGAGTTCGGCAGGAAGGTGGAGATCCGCCGAGCCACCGGCAAGGAAGCCCTGCAGAACCTCAACGACAAGGTGCGCCTGGGGGAGAGGAAAGGGGTGCGGGATCAGGGGAGGGTGTGGGATCAGGGGAGGGAGGGCGATGGGAGCCCTGAACCCAGAGGAGCCCATCCGAAGAACGGGATATGTGAACTCCGCCCTTTGACAAATCCCATCGATTCAATGGGTCTACCCGGGTTGGGACTAACAGTTCGATGTTCACGTGTTTGGGGATTTAGGAAGTTTTGCTTTGGTTTTGTGGTTAAAAACCCTATACGACCAACAATTGTAGGATGTCAAAGACATATAAAGAAGTATATACAAGTAGACAATAAAATAAAATAAAAAGGTCACCTCTGGCTGGTTTCTAAAACTGCTCAGACTTGGTCCTCCTGGGCAGATGGCCAAGGAGATTACTCTAGAGGAGGCAAGCAACGGTCCTGATCTTGGTAGCTGCAACACTCTCTGTCTTTCTTGTTCTTTCTTGCCCACAATGGGCGCCAACTTTTACGGCTCTTATGATTATCCTGGCATCTTCCCGAAGCATTTCCTGAGTTCTTCTTTAATAAGGGAGCCCCACCCATCTCATGCAGGATCTAAGACAAGAGTAGGCATTTGGTAGACAAGAATACACTCAATGGCAAAGAAAATGAAAAAAATAAATAAACAATATGACCACATCCCAATCAAGCTTTGGATTACAGCTTGCTTGGACTATGGTTCTCTCCATCTGCTTACTCTGAAGCAGTTTTTGGTGATGCAATGGATCTTGCCCATTTGGTGCTAACTTTGCAGACAATGCTCACACAACTCAATTTCATCAACCCTTTTAGACAACCCAGTACCAAAGTGGAAATGTGCTCTTTTAAAAAAATTTATATATGTGCACTTTAGCTGGGCATATTATTAAATAATTGGCCCATTTGTCTCAAGCATCATTAGAAACATGAGTTTCAGCTGGAGGCCAGTGCCATGCTCCTCAACCAGTTTTCCAGGCCCTTGTCTTTCGCAGAAGGAAAAGGGTTGGCTGGTTTAACAGTTAGATGCTGTTGGACTGCAAGCCCCATCACGTCATTCATTTGACTCACTACGCTTGATGGGAATTACAAGGGAGGGTCACATACCCAACAAGCTAAGTATTGTTCCTGACCCACTGCGGGTCTAGATGCCAAAATGGAAATCAACACAGAGAACTGGCTTATGCCAAGTCAAACCACTGGTCTAGGTCACTCAGAATTGTCTACATCAGGGGTTACAAACTTTGTTGATTGATTGCTGTTTCAGTGCTGGCTGGCTCAGGGCCAATGAGAAATGATACTAATCTCATAGACAACAGGTTCCCAACCATGAACCATCATAAATGGTAGCAGGGCTTCAGACAGGAGTCTGAATGCCAGTCCTATTGACACTGTTGGGATGTCAGCTATGACCTCTGTATGCAAAGCAATAGTACTATGATTCTTCACATATAAAGAGTCAGTTCCCCTTCCTTTACATTCAGCCCATAGTTAGCCCTAGAGAAAAGCATTCAATGCCTGGTTTCAACATAGTTTTAAGTGTTTATCTTATCTTAGCTCCAATTAATAGAGTCAGCCACTCCAGATGTTCTTGGACTATAAATCCCAGAAGCCTTCACCACCACCTCTGCTGGCCAGGATTTCTGGGAGCTGAAGTCCAAGAATATCTGGAGGCCCAAGGTTGGGGATCACTGCTCTAGAGAAAAGCATTCAGTGCCTGGTTTCAACATAGTTTTATCTTATCTTAGCTCCAATTAATAGAGTCAGCCATGGGAGATAGTAGTATGCTGTTGTGGTTACTGCATGCCATTAAGTTCCTTCTGAGTTAAGTTTTTTTTTTGACACATGTGACACATTGAAAGATCGATTAACCATTGTGACTTCCATCCCCACCCTTGTTTGAATCTGGATTTCCTGAGTCATAGTTTGACATTCTATCCACTACAACACGCTGGCAGTCAGTAATAGTTAGGCTTAAATAATGGTCTGGGCTGTGATGGTGGTAGTAGGGACACAGATGGTCCTCAGCACTTTAAGTGGACATTCTTTGCATGCAGAACTCTAGAAAAGCCCCTTCATAAAGGTGACTCCAAGACTCTCTTTGGACAATGATTTGCAGAGGTGGACATAGCTATTAAGAAAGGTGCCTGCCATGGGACTGGTCACACAATGAGGTATTTGACCTCCACAAGTAACCGCAGCAACACATGGTAATCCAAACCAGATACTGGCCTTGGGGGGTGCGTGTCTGTCTCTTATGGGAAAGATTTCAGGGTTGGCCTCAGCATTAATTAGAGCAAGGCAGCTTCTTGTGGTGACAGGTACTTGGAGGAATTGCTGTTGAAAGTTATCTCGAGCCCCTGGCCATCAGGGATGGTTTTTTTCCACATGGTAATCCAAACCAGATACTGGCCTGGGGGGTGTGTGTCTGTCTCTTATGGGAAAGATTTCAGGGTTGGCCTCATCATTAATTAGAGCAAAGCAGCTTCTTGTGGTGATAGATACTTTGAGGAATTGCTGTTGAAAGTTATCTTGAGCCCCTGGCCATCAGGGATAGGTTTTTTCTGGGAGTTCTACCTGGCAGACAGAACTTTAACCTGGCTCACCAAGGAGACAGACCTCAATGGCAAGTTCCTGAGGTTTAGCTAGGCCTAGCTCCACCCAAGCTTCCTGTTCCTGCCCCAGTGCCAGCTGGGACCTGTCTTTTTGAATAGAAAGCTAGGGCAGCTAAGCCTCAAATTTCTCCAGCTGAGGCATTTCTCCCTAACGGGCCACATTAAGGCATCTGTCTATCAGGTAGCATTCCAAGAATTTGTAGTCCAAAAATTCCAGTCCCTACTGCCCATTCCTATAGCTTATAGAGCAGGCTTGTGTGTATCAGGTGCTATTGGAGCTGCTGTAGAGTCCTTAGAGCTCTACAGCCTCTCCAGCTCCCCATCACCACACTGTTATTTTCCACTCTGTCTAGTGGTAGGGTTGATGATCAGAAAGGAAAATGAACATGCACACAGGCACCTCCCTAGCATCACTGTACTTCAGTCCCTAAAATTGAGTAGGGAGTTCTGAAGTAGGGATTCTACATAATATGCCCATAAACACAAGCAGAAACCTCTATGTGGTCAAGAATTCTGCTCTATCTGCTGATGTTCCAGTGAGTGTCCACTGAGCTGGATGTTGGAAGATCCCAATTCTAGATCTACCTAAGCCATGAAACTCACTGGGACAACCCCTGTTCCTCTCAGTATGTCACTGGGTTGTTGTGAGGATTAAGCAGAGAGGGAGAGAGTCATGTGCACTGCCCTGAGCTCACTGGAGGAAAGGATGGATTAGGATACAAAGGATGAAAGATCTGACATCTTTGGGTGGTGAATTTGCTCCATGTCCCTTAGTCCAAACCTTCTGTCTCTCTTTTTTTCAACCCAACATCCAAGGTGCTGAACCTATTTTGGAGGTAGTACTTAGGCTTTGGGGAGCTCCTGAAAAATTTAGACTAAAATCTGAAGCAGGTCAAAACACTCCTGGACAGTGGGAGCACCAGCCTTCACTAGAGATGGATGGATGGATGGATGGATGGATGGATGGATGGATGGATGGATGGATGGATGGATGGATGGACGGACGGACGGACGGACGGACGGACGGACGGACGGACGGAAGGAAGGAAGGAAGGAGATGGATGGATGGATGGATGGATGGATGGATGGATGGATGGATGGATGGATGGATGGATGGATGGATGGATGGATGGATGGATGGATGGATGGGACAAAGTGCACATAAAATTAAATTTCCCCACTCACTGCAGGAAGGATGAAGTCATGGGAGATGAGTCTTGTTTCTGTATCATACCCTCTCCATTCCTGTTAATGTGAACAAGTTGGATGCCTGCATAGGGCCAAATCTTACAGGATGGATAATTAATTTATAGGCTCAGAGAAAGGGAGTAGCTGGGCCGGTTCTGTTTTTACTTCATTTGCAGCAACCGTAACTTTTTGTTTCTTGTCTGTAGTCTCAGTAAATGGTGGAGGAGAAATACCACATGGCTCTACTCCTGGATAATGCTGCTGCCTTGCGCTCTGCTGCACAACATTGAACAGCTAATGTTTTGGACTGCAGCTTCCAGACTTCTCAGCCATCCTGGCTACTGGCCACTGGCCATGTTGGCTGGAAGATTTAGGGTGTTGCAACTAAAGAATAACTTTTCCAGGCTCTTCTCTGTTGCAGATGCTGAGATGATAATAAGGAAAACAAGTCTGTTGCATTGCACAGGCCACTAGCTTGCAAATGTTTTGTTGAAAAGTACAGCCGTATCCCGCTTAACGATTACCCCATATAACGACGAATCCACTTCACGACAATGTTTTTGCAATCACAATTGCGATTGCAAAACAATGTTTTAAATGGGTTTTTTCACTTTGTGAAGATTGGTTCCCTGCTTTGGGAACTGATTCTTCGCATTACGACGATCAAAACAGCTGATCATTGGGTTTTCAGAATGGCTGCCGGGTGCTCAAAATGGCTCCCCGCTGTGTTTAGGGACGGATTCCTCACTATACAGGCACCGAAAATGGCTGCCCCTATGGAGGATCTTCGCTGGACTGTGAGTTTTTCAGCCCATTGGAATGCATTGAATGGTTTTAAATGCATTTCAACTGGCTTTTTAATTTCGCTTTACGACATTTTCGCTCTACAGCTATTTCACTGGACCGAATTCACATCCTTAAGTGAGGCACCACTGTAATGAAAAATGGTGCCCATTACAGTTAATGCTGAAAAACAGGAAAACACGGCCCATTGGAATGCATTGAACGGTTTTCAATGCATTTCAACTGGCTTTTTAATTTCGCTTTACGACATTTTCGCTCTACAGCAATTTCGCTAGACCGAATTCACATCATGAAGCGAGGCACCACTGTAATGAAAAATGGTACCCATTACAGTTAATGCAGAAAAACAGGAAAGCACATACTTTTTAAATTTGTTTGTTTGTAGAGCAGGCTTGTATGTATCAGGTGCCTT